ATCTTTTATTTTTAGATATGGGTGTTTCACAAAATTTTATTAAGTTTTAATTTGTTATACAGCATTCTTTAGACGATAAATATTTTAAAATTATTATTTAGCAGCGCACTGCACTGCCTGACAAAACGTTAAAAATTCTTTCGACTTTCTAAATAGTTATTTATTATTTGATCGCATCTGATTGTGTTTTTTTTCCACCTAGTTCTTAATGGTCTTGTTTTAAAGAAAAATTTATCTTTTATTTTCTTTGTTATTGTCTTCATCTTTAACTTATTACTACAGTCAATTTTTTTATAATTACATCGAATTTATCTGAAAGAAGTTCATAATCTTTCATTTTTTTCATTGTTTCATTCGTTTAATTAAAAGATAAATTCATGTTTTCGCATCATTAAAACATTAAAACAATGAAATAATGATTTCTTTACGTTTAAACATATTTAATGTTTTTTCGTTGCTAACGCTAATAGAACTTTTATAACTTTTTTAGCAAACGTTTTCACAAACTTAAACTTTTCTTTTTCTCAAATAAATTTATAATTTTAATTAAGTTATAAATAATATAAATTATAATTTTAATAACAAAAGCTTTTTAAATTTAGTTAAATTTTGGCCGAAAATTTTTAGGTCAATATTTAGAAAACAAGTTTTTTTAAATGTTTTACTTCAACTACCAAAATGCAGTTAAAAAATGTGAATAGTGATTATTTTGTTTTTAACGATAAGCAAACTATTCCGTTCAAAACACAACGTTTTTAGAAATATTTTTCAAAATTAAAAAAATTTTTTTTATTATTATACATATGGTTTTTAGCAAATTTTTTACAAAGTTAAATTAAAGTTACTCATAATTAATTTGTATTTATTACACAATTTAATATTATTAATAAACTTACATAAATAAATAAAATTTTGAATAATTTCTGTAAACGTTTTATATAAAGTCTCATTCACAAATCACCATTCATTGTTTGTAAAATATTGCGCTCTAATTTTAACAGAATAACGTAAGTTAACATGAAAAAATGAGTTTGCTAATTGAAGTATAACTTTAACATTTAACCTCAATTGAAAAAATGCAATTAAAGATATGTGAATAAAGATAATTTTGTTTTTAACAATAAGCGAACTTTTTTGTTTAATTAAACAAGAATCTTTTACAAAAACTATTTATAAAAAAAATTTAATATAAAATCAAGTTAACCATTATAAGTTTTCTCCCTCCCAAATTTATAGGACGAGCGTGATTTCTTACTCTCATAACTAAATTAGAGAGTGTTTTTTATCGCGTCCAGAATTTATAAATATTCCATTAACAAGTGTGTTTCACATGATTGGAGCAATTGCTCCCGCTTCATGCCAAGGCCTATATATATATATATATATATATATATATATATATATATATATATATATATATATATATATATATATATATATATATATATATATATATATATATATATATATCAAGCCTTCCTAGCAAACTTGTGCGGTTTTTCGCAAAAATATAAAATATATTTGTATAATTTTAATATAACATGTATATATTGTCCCTATATGAATATGCTATGTATGTATGCGTATTTATATTTTATAATTACATTTATTTGTATATAAGTATGCGCACGTTTAGCTTACTTTGCTAAAGCGTATACTTTGTATACGAAATGTCCCTGAATCGAATCCCGCCACAATCTATTTTTTTTTTTTTTTATTCAATATTGCTGCTCATATATTGTGCTTATATATTTTTGCTTTGTAATCATTTATCTTTTCTTTGTGTATAAAAAAAATCTTATTATCTCTTCACATTCAGATTTCTTTTTTCTAATTAAGGCGCACATTTATATTACATAGTTTCAAGGCGTCAATTAGGCGTCTACACATTTTTCACATACCCTTAATTGTTTCATATTACCTTTCTATTCTTGTAAAACTTAAGATAAGCTTCTTCACTTATCACTCACACAAAACTAAGAAAAGTTTAAAGAAAATTTAGAAACAATTCAGCTTAAAGCAAAATTAAGATAAAAATATATTTCAGATTTTTTCCTGATATTTTACCTAAACAATTTTCTGGATATTTAAAATATGGTCTGGATGATCTATGGTATATATGTATATATATATATATATATATATATATATATATATATATATATATATATATATATATATATATATATATATATATATACAAATAGTATTGCGGACTAAGGTAAGCAATCTGACGTCATACTGAAATAGCCTGCTGCTGGGGCTTCAGTACATACATCGACTGATAAATAGCCTGACTCGCAGTGGAGTGCTGCTACATCGACTGAGGGTTTGGGATGTGGCAGCAATCGTTTCATTCATAATTCTTCGTTTTTTATCTTTTTTTTCTAAAAAAGCTGTATGGGTTAAAGTAAGCAAAAAAAGTGATAAATGCTTATAAAAATACGCTTTAGTAAGTGTATATATATATATATAAATATATGTATATATAAATATATATATGTATATAAATATATATATGTATATAAATATATATATATAAATATATATATATATATATATATATATATATATATATATATATATATATATATATATATATATATATATATATATATATATATATATATAACCCTCGGAAATAGGAAAAATGAGGTCGGCAATAACATGCCAACCTCAAAAAACCAATGTTTTAGAGGTCGGCATAAGGTCAGCAAAAATTATTTGGTACAAAGGTCTTACCATAAAACATGAGGTCATACCATAAAACATAAGGTCTTACCATAAAACATGAGAAATGAGGTCATCAAAAAATTGAGGGTTCTAATTCTAAAATCTAATTCTGAGGGTTGATATATATACCATATAAATTAAAAACCTTTATAAATAGAGAAACCTTTATAAATTAGGCAGTTGTGTAATCACTTGGCTCATACTTAAATATTAATGTAATACTGTGATGCAAGTTTTTGTTTTTTATTGTTAAAAAATATTTATAAAATAAAATATGTTTATTGTTATGATGCTTTTTTAGTTTTTTAAAATTATTATTAAATGATTTGTTTGTTATCAAAACTCATCTTTGATTAGTTTTGATAACAGTTTTTTTTTTCTTTCTTAGCTCAACTTAATGAAGCATTTGTTAACTTTTTGTTGGATCTGATTGAAAATCCTCCCCAAAATGATGAACAAGTTTCAGATAGCCTGTTGGGTTTGATACTTTCATTTAACAAACATTTTAGAGGTAAATGATGCATAAATTAATACACCATTTATGCACAAATTTAAAACAACTTATTAACTAATCTATAAATAACAAATTAGTTTTTTTTATATGGAGAAGACCAGGATACCTGACTTTTTTTGAAAACCTTTCGTATATCAATAGCGTTTATGTCAAAGCGCAATAGAACCTTTCTAATTTCTGTGGTTAACAAAAAAGTAGAACAAGAGGATTTATAATCCGTTATCAGAGAGTGTTAGATTTATGATGAGAAATTTATTTTTAAAAGAATTAACTAATACTGATAAAAGACATATTGTGTGAATTTAGTAAAGACATTTAGTGAGATATTGTGTAAAAATTTTAAGGGTCAGAGTGATCTTAAGAGTTTTCAAAAACTTAAAATGTTGTTTTCCAGCAGGCGCTAAAATAAAACTCAATGAAGCATTTGTTATATAGTTGAGAATTTAATCAAACAAGTTCTGGAAAACACTTTTGTAAAACTTAAACAGGACCACAAGCTGTATTATCTGGACCACAAGCTGTAAGGATGATAAAAGGAGAAATAGTTTAAAGGTTAAAGGAGTATAAAAGAGAAATAAATTGAGCAATGGAAGCAGGAGGATGACAAAAAAAAAATCAATGACATAAAATGATGAAAGTGATGTAAAAGTACTAAATAATAGTTTAAGTGAGATCATTACATGATCAGAACCACCTAAAGAAGAACAAGAAAAAATGCAAATCAAGGAGTGAAGTGATAAGAGTTGTTGGAAAATCACAAATTTAGTTAGAGATTAAGAAAACCAAAAAAATTTAAAGCCCTGTTGTCAAAGATCACATCTCTTTTTTTTAAATTGTTTTAGGTTTTGCATCTTTTAACTCAAAATACTACCATGGTTGCTGTTTAAACATATTTTAAGTCTTAAGGTCGTTTTTCTGCTCTCTGTTAACCTAGTCCCAACTTAGTTTATATATATATATATATATATATATATATATATATATATATATATATATATGTATATATATATATATATATATATGTATATACATATATATATATATATATATATATATATATATATATATATATATATATATATATATATATATATATATATATATATATATATATATGTATATACATATATATATATATATATATATATATATATATATATATATATATATATATATATATATATACATATATATATATATATTTCCATTATATTGTCTTATGCAAGAAAAAAAGATAAAAAAAAAATTATTTAGGCATCAATATGACATAAGCCCAAGAACCCTAACAAAGAAATTCATGAAAAGTAACTGCTTTATTGTAGTAGTAAGTAGTGCAAAGATAGGGTAGTAGAAGTGCCAGATAAAAAATTTATAGAGATCACTTCATGGTTGGAACCACTTAAAAGAAAACAAAGAGAAAGTGAACACAAGCTAGGGTCAGAGACAAACACAAAGGTAAGTGATTAGGGTTGTCTAGAAAACAAGTCACAAAGTTAATTATCTGAGTTAGAATTGAGATATACAGAAGTTATGAGCTTTAGTGCCTGCAGGGTCAGTGGTGTTAGAGTTAAAAAAGAAAGAAAGAGAAAAGTAATTAAGTAAAGATTTGCTAAGCGGAAGAATGGTCAGAGGATTCTAACCTGATTTTTCAACAAAAAGGTGAATTAATGCATAAGTATATGCCCAAGCCAAGTCTTTATAGTAGCCATCTATACTGAGATCCAAAAAAGAAACAACCGAATTCAAATTAGTTTCACAAAGAGCAAACAGGTCTGTTGGTTTTTGCAAGTGAGATTGCGAGTGAGATCTGGTGAATTTTAAGGTGAGATGAAACTGATGGAAAATTACTTTGGAGACCACAAATGTTTGTAAAAGATATATTAAAACAGTGAGGGTGGTGGTGACGTTTTATTTATGTTTAATATTTTTGGATAATTTGGTTTTGATAAAGTTCTATTTTGCAGAGCTTCAGAACAGAACAGAAAAACTAAGCCTAAGTAACTAAACGTGTTGAACATTGACTTTACAAATTATATTATAACGTATAAATTAATCCAAACAAATATCTTATTATGAATGATTGAATTCAATCTAATAAATAATAAATAACCTGTTAATGATAATGTATGATGAATAATTGAATTCAAACTAATAAATAATAAATAACCTGTTAATGATAATGTATGATAAATGATTGAATTCAAACTAATAAATAATAAATAACCTGTTAATGATAATGTATGATGAATGATTGAATTCAAACTAATAAATAACAAAATACCTGTTTTTGTAAAATTCAAACTAATACCTGTTTTTGTAAAATTCAAACTAATACCTTTTTTTGTAAAATTCAAACTAATTCCTGTTTTTGTAAAATTCAAACTAATACCTGTTTTTGTAAAATTCAAACTAATACCTTTTTTTGTAAAATTCAAACTTATACCTGTTTTTGTAAAATTCAAACTAATACCTGTTTTTGTAAAATTCAAACTAATACCTATTTTTGTAAAATTCAAACTAATACCTGTTTTTGTAAAATTCAAACTAATACCTGTTTTTGTAAAATTTAGAGAATTAAGTAGTCTTAAGAACTTTAAACTTAAATTTTTTTGTTTTACTGATCAATATAATAAATTCATTTTTGTTTGTTATCTCTCTATTATTATTGTTTATTATTTGCCTTTAGTTTTATTATTTGTATTTATTTTGAGTTAAGCTTGGAAGAAAAAAATATATATTTATAACAACAATTATAACATACTTTTCACATATTCTCAGAAATTGTAATGTGTAAAGAAATGTGTCCTGTTAAAGTAATACTTACAGTGTCAAATTTATTAAGGTAAAAAATCTGATAGTCTTACGAAAATAAACATATTTAAAAAGCTAAAACAAAGATTAAGTTTGAGTAGCACTAAAGTTTCTTTTAACGAAATTTGTTTTTTAATTTGTTGAGCACTCCTTGTACCAAGTTTACTAACAAATCTACATGCCAAATAAATAATACAAGGTGATTATATTATAAAGTATTAGTTATTTTTTTTTTTTTTTACAATTGTAATGTAAAATTTAAAATCGTTGAAGACTTAAACAAATAATAATGATTATTCTTTTCTTTTCATCTTCAACTTTGATTGGTTCTTTTGGCCTTAGGGATGTGAATACTTTTTTAAAAAAAACTCTAAAAAATAATTTGTTGTAACTTCATCTCTAACTTTGTTAAAACTCGATTAAAAGTTTTTGAATTTTATTTTTTGCAATTAATATAAATAAAAATGAAATCCTAAACTTTCAGCTTTTATGGCTTTTTTTTATTTTATTCATTTTTTGTTTATTTACACAAAGAAGTTTATCATTTAACAATACGTCAATACCAATTGTTGATTTTGCAATAGCAAACTGGATTCTAATAAATTTTTAATGTGTAACATGTTTAGCAACAAAGCATAATCCCATTATGCAAGTATTAAGTAGAAGGACAGTATTTCGAATGCTTTCTATTTTTTTTAGCAACAAAAAATAATTCCATTATGCAAGTATTAAGTAGAAGGACAGTATTTCGAATGCTTTCTATTTTTTTAGCAACAAAACATAATCCCATTATGCAAGTATTAAGTAGAAGGACAGTATTTCGAATGCTTTCTATTTTTTTTTAGCAACAAAACATAATCCCATTATGCAAGTATTAAGTAGAAGGACAGTATTTCGAATGCTTTCTATTTTTTTTTAGCAACAAAACATAATCCCATTATGCAAGTATTAAGTAGAAGGACAGTATTTCGAATGCTTTCTATTTTTTTTAGCAACAAAACATAATCCCATTATGCAAGTATTAAGTAGAAGGACAGTATTTCGAATGCTTTCTGAAAAACTGATGCTCTTGTTTAACCGTGAAAGTAAGTTTTGAAAATAATCAAATAATTTAACTTTAACTTATTGTTTTTAATTGAAATTTAAAGTTTACAAATTTCTTTTTATTTTTTATTTTAGCTGATCCTGTTGCATTGTTTTCCTTTAGTATAAGCTGCCCTGATTCTGTACTTAAGTTTCTTAATGATATTTTTTCTACAAAAAGGACATCTACTATGTTTTATACTAGCGATATGTCTGTCATGATTGAAATTATACTGCGTCAACTGTTTAACAGACCCTCCAAAGATCAGGTATAATATAATTATAATATATAACACTAAATGTATATCATACTTTATTATATATAGTATATATCTTGTTACAAATTCTATAGAATTTCACATTCAACATTCAGAAATAGCTACTTTCAGGGCAATTGTGCTATCATATGGCTTTTTTTTTTCTTTTTTTTTTTTCTTTGTATAAATTCGTCTCAGAATGATGTCGAATACATTTTAAATAAAATTTAAATCGAGATTTCAAGCTGACCACACATGTTTATATATATAAGGTAGATTAGGGTAATATGAGCACCTTAAGCGAAAATTTGAATATTTTCAAAAATAAATATGCTGCGTCAAAAATCTTTGCGAATAAACAATTTTTAGGGATCCCTACTCATGATCCATTTAGAATATTGGGCATCCGACATTTTTTCTTTAAAACACAGAGGTTTTAAAAAAGTAGCAAAAGTGCTCTTATTACCGAGATCCCAGGTAATTGGGATCTGGGTAATATCCCATCCCATGAGCGCTTTAAATTAGATCAAAAAAACAGCATTAATAAAGTAAAAAAGACCAACCTGATTAAAAGAACTAATTTTTGGAATATAAGGATTCGTGATTAACAAAACTTATCATTAAAAGATCAAATTTTAAGCTACATTTTGTTGAAACAATACTAATATGTTTTCCGCAAAAAAAAAAAAAAATTTTTTTTCAATTTTATTAATTCAAACTTTGAAAGATAAAAATTCAAATTTTTTAAGTTTAAGTTACAGAAAAATATTTAGTATTGTTAAAATATTAAAATTACTATGTTTTGTTTTTATTTAAGAAGCAATTAAAAACCACTGCTAATTTAGGACTTTAAACTAAGTAATTTAAATGAAAAACACTGGGTAATTTGAGCATGCTCATATTACACAAAAATGATTAGATTAGGGTAATATGGTGCCCATATTACCCTAATCTAATCTACCTTATACAAACATGCGACTTCTTGACTTTTTTTCAAAAAAAAATTTCCTGTGTAATAAATCGATAAACTTTAATTAGGAAACATTGAAAACATATTCAATTCCTCTCGGTTGTAAAAAAAAGGTCACCCCGCAATTTAAATTACGTTTCGTCATATATTTAATCTTGTTACTGCTACTACTAATACGTGTGGTTTTCCTGCAAATCATTTAAAACTTGTATAGATTAGAACTGTTTAGAACGTTAGAACATTTTGGAAAATAACAGAATATTTTAGAAGACTTTAGAACATTCTAGAACAATTTAAAACATTCTGGAACAATTTAGAACATTCTAGAACAATTTAAAATATTTTGGAATATTTTAGAACAAATTAGAACATTCTGGATTGTTCTAGAACATTTTAGACTATATATAGCTGCTTATCTAATTTTATAGTTATTACAAAAGCAACACATGGCGTCGTACAAGCCTAGCGATAGTAATCTGGTACGATTTGAATCAAAGGAAGAAAGGAGCGAATAGCGGAAATTTCCAAAGTCGGAAGAATAGACTGAATTTTCCTCATGTATCTGATCAAGTTATACGAGTAAAGCTTGACAAAATACTAAAATGTTATGATGAATGTGTTGAGCGGGGAAGCTACCAACCCCTTGATGAAATTTTTGATAATACTAAAGTGGATGGAACATGGTTATCTTCTGAGGGCAAGCGATTGTAGCATCTCCAAGTGGATAGCAAAGGAACAGTGGGATACTCTACAGGCCAAGCTCCCAGTAAAGAAACGATCCATCCCTCTAAAAGACGAAAACTTTCTAATGAGTCATACTACTTATTGTCTTACTATCTTGGTTTTAGTGATTTTGACTGAGGTTGACGATAGTGAATATGAAAACAATGAAGAAGACGAGACAACTCCTACACCAAGCAGAAAACATCATAAAAGCAAAATTGAATTCAACTTGGTGACCTCCACAAGAGTATCAACAAACAAAGCTGCTAACATATGCAAGGAATTGGCTCGTGTAGGCATTGACATCCTAATTCCATGTCAGCCAGCTATTTACAAGTCAACAGTCAAAGAGGCAATCAAGCTGAAGGAGAAAATGGTTAAAAAGTTGCATAAGGAAAGTTTGTTCTTACACTAAGCACGTCGCCAAAATGGATTATCAAGTGGTCGTCCTTAAAAACGAAAGAAGAAAAATCTAATTGGATGTCCTTGGCTTGGTAGATGCCAGGGCTTTAACTATTGCTCAAGGAATTTCTAAAGTCCTCGATGCATTTCACCTATGGAATTCAATACAGATGATTGTATTCTCGAAACATCAGGCCGGAGAAATGATATGGAATTTTTGTTTCATCTCACTTGAGTGTTCTGATTTTTTGAAGAAAAGGGACATTTTCTATTGATCAGAAAATACCCAACATCAACAATGCGAAGTGGAACTCCAGAGCTATACTAGCGATCCTGGCCTTCATTTTAATTTCTTTAACAAGGACAGCTGCAGAGAGTATGTCGATTTATATCGTATGGCTGGGCAGATCATTGGTTTACAGACCCACTGTACAACGAAAATGATTTTAATAACTTGGTTGAAATACTGAATCCATACAAAAAAGTTTTAATCTCTTTGAAAAATTACTGGAAGAGAGAGCCATCCATACTAGAGATACCCAGAAGTAGTCAATGCGCAGAGCGCGCAATCAAAGTAATGGAGGAAGTTTATTCATCATGCAAAAGTAAAGACAAATATAAATGAAAAATAAAAACACCTTCGATTCCTTCTGTGCAACAAGCATGAGCAAGGTCAACGGTCTAAGTCATTATTGGATTGAAAATTTATTGTATTACATGACGATGACATTCTAAATACATTTAAATACATAGTAGTACTTATGTCAAAATCGATTATTTTAATGGCGGGGTGAACTTTTTTGAAAGGATTTATTATAGTAAGGATTCACAAAAAAATTGTTTTTTTTTTTAATTTTTTTTCCTGATTAAACTTTTAGGTTCGTACGGAATATCTTTCTTTGTTTCATGCAATTCTCACATCTGATGCATGCGTTGAGCTCAAGAAACACACTAACGAGTTAAAACGTTATTTTGAAAACATTTTAACAGATTATGCAAATGAAAGTGACGTTGATGTTTATATTGTTCGCGAAATAACAAATCGTTTTCCTGATTTATTTTGCTAGATGTATTTTAAATATGATGAGCTCTTATTTTCTTTTTATTTATTTACATTTGTTTATTACTGATATATGCCAGAGTGTGAATGGCGATGAACGGTTCAAAGTAACAATCAAACAAAAAATTTGTAAATGACAAACTGTAAGTTTTGATAAACGAAAGGTGCATTTTTATATAAATATTAATATAAATTTAAAATTTTTAAAGCATATTTATAGTCTTCTAAAATATAACTTTTGCAGAAATGTTTACGTAATACCGGCAGGCACATATGTCCGTAAAACGTCTTTGCGCTATCCAATGAACGTCGCGTGTACTTATTACGTCAGTAAGACATTTAGCAGACATACTGTGCCCACTGGCACTTAACGTAATATTTTTTTTAGTTCTAGGTAATTTTTCGTTATCCGTTCCTGTTCTTTGACGTTTTGTATTTCATGATTTATAGATACTTAAATAGTAAAAGCATTTTTTTTTTACTGAGAACATTACTTTTAGAATTTTACTGAAGAATATTACCTTAAATAAAATTGGTAGTTATTATTTTTGTTATATCTTTATTATAGTGATTGTTATAATGAATAATTTTTTACGTGAACCGATTCCCCATAGTAAAATGTTTAAAAATTGAGAAATATTTACATAAAACATCGCTCTAGAAAGATATATATATAAGCATATATGAAAAGCGCAGAGGTTAAGAGTCTAAGTAACAAAATAAAGATTTTGAGAAAACCTGTCAAAGTCAAAAAATTTTTGTAAGAAGGAAAGTTAAAATTGCATCATTTTGACGGCATATCCAAAAGTAATCGAGTCTTTGTGTTTATTGGAGCCGCACTGATGTCATTTTGGCGATCTCAATATGACGTAGCCGATGTTTTTGAATAAAATTCCTATATACATGTATTCTAACTTTTTAATAGTCACCTTAAATCTTGAATTTTTAAAACTTATCCAGCTAAAATAATTATTTCTCAAATATGAGCATATGAGAGACAACTACTAATTAGTCAGAATTATTAATCAATGTTCTTATGTTTTATGTGATAGCATTACTCTAGTTGAATTGCATTTATTCTTCTTAATTTTTATTTAAATATATATTTATTCAGTATTGTGAGTTTTAAATTACTTAGAAATTAGCATGGAACAACATCGACAAAAGCCAATTCCTGTCTCGGTGCCAAGTTTGCCTGGTACATTGGTGTAGCCCTTGTTTTTATTGTTACAATAATAAGAATTTACAACATTCGGTTATGATTTTATATATTAAAAATAATTGGCGGTTCCTCATAAGTAATAAATGCTACAATGACGACACAGTTTTCGAAGTAGAGGAGGAGGCACAATAGTCATTTTCTAAAAAAGGTCTTACATATCTTTAACTTTTAATTAAAAAAAATCCTTTAGAAAAAAGTGGGGGCAGAGGAGCACGCGCTACCTGGCGTCGTCGGCTTTGATGTAACACTTTTTATAACTTTATTAGCATATATCGCTGTACCTGTGCAAGACCATTACATCTCAAAACTTTTGTATTTTGAGTTATATACACCTCAAGGTTCAGAAAGATTAGGAGATTTAGAGCAATACTAAAACATCTAAAAGTGTTCGCTCGTGCGTGAAACTTGGCTAACTCGTTGAAAGTACTGTAATATAGATAAACTGAAAGATAGAAAGTACTCAAAGATAGACTTAATAGTTATTTAACTGAGAGCAATATAATGTATAATAAACAATTTGGGTTCAAAAAGAATTATTCAACGGATCATACGCTAGTCGAGCTAATAAATTATATATCCAATGGGTTCAATAATGACTATTATATTATTAGGAGTTTTTATTGATTCGTCAAAAGCATTTGACACTGTCGACCATGATATTCTTATAAAAAAACTAGAGCTGTATGGAATATTAAACAATAACTAGCTATGGTTTAAAAGTTACCTGTCTAACAGAAAACAATACATAATATATACAGCAAATAAAACAGATAAACATATTATAACTTGTGGTGTTCCCCAGGGATCAATCTTAGGCCCACTCCTATTCCTGCTCTATATAAATGATTTATCTTTAGTATCCAAAAGTTTTAATGTTGTTTTAATTGCTGATGATTTGAACTTTTTTTATTCAAATAGTAATATAAAAGATCTGTTTAGAATATCTAACGAAGAATTATTAAAAATAAATAACTTTTCCCAACATTTAATGAAAGTTTATTTCAATTAATAAACTTTCATTAAATGTTGGGAAAACTAAATTTATCTTATTCCACAAATCTAGTAGGGGAGATTAGGAGGGACAGTTATTAAAAGAGAGTTAACAGTTAACAATCTAGGAGTAATTATAAATGAAAATATATCATGGAAAAATCAAATTAACTCAATGTTATATAAAGTTAAACCATTCATAATTTTATTATCTCAATGTTATATAAAGTTAAACCATTTCTTAATATTGAGTCTTTAAAAATTATATATTTTTTATTTATTCATAGTTATCTTTCATATTACATTATTGGTGTTAACGCATTTAATTAATTGGTGTTAACGCATTTAATTAATTGCATTTGGTGTTAACAGAACTGTTAATGATGAATCTCTTTTAATGGAACTTAATGCATTCAATGTTGATAAACTTAAGATATACCAAGTTATGCATAAGTGTTTAAGTCAAAATATGGTTTATCTCCTAATATATTTCACTCTTACTTTAACGAAATTACTCATAAATACCCCACAAAGTATTCAACTAATAATTTTGTTGTTCCAAAAACTTATTTAAAACTCAGTTCGTTTTGAGTTCAATAAAATGGACCATTTCTATGGAAAAGGTTTTTGAAAAATATTATCTAAAATAAAACTCTTCTAAATTTCTCAATAAAACAATTCAAGAGAGAATCTAAACGATTTTTAATACAAAATCTCCAAAAATATCTCAATGTTATATAAAGTTAAACCATTTCCAAATATTTTTTCTCTAAATGGCTCGAGCCATTTAGAGAAAAAATATTCATGTGGAATCTTTGCCATAGTATAATTACTGTGGCAAATACTTTTAAAATATTTTTAAAAGTAAAAAAACCCTGATTTTTTTCATGTTATTTAGGCAGTTATTATGCAATTTTATTGCAATTTTATTATTCGCGTTATTTAGGCAGTTATTATGCAATATTAGGCTGTTATTATGCAAAAAATATTATTAGGCAATCTTTTAAATCCATAGTTGAGCGCTCAACTTTATAAATCTACTACATGGTAATATTATTTTCAAACCTTTAGATTTCAGTTCTTATTGCAGTCAACGCACTATGCCTCACTTAGTGGAAACAGGGTTTTACATTTCTTAAAGATTTTTCCAATTTTAACTTTCTAAATAATGTTTTCTTTTTTTAAGAGGGGGAGTTTTAGGGTTAAAAAACCACATGTTTTTGGAATTGCTTGTGATAAAAATCAATATTTTGAATTAGTGTAATATTATTAACTTAATGATATATTTAATTAATTTAAAACCAAAAAAAGTAAAAAAAAAAAAGTTTTTTCATAATAGTTTTTTCATGTTTATTTCAGTCCGCAAAGATTATTAGATTGAATTATGTTACTGCAAAGGAAGAAACATGATTCATTATTAATTAATCCATTAATCTTTGGCAACCAATCAACTTTTCAAAAATAAAAAAAATACTCTGGCTACCTCTGTAGTAAGATACTTCAATTCATTTTTACACGTGTGAACTGCATAGAGAACCGAATCAGGTTTTTTTCCACAATACTTTTTTACCTATAGTTATAATATAGCAAAATTATACAATAAATAAAAAGGCTTTAATACTCAGTAAAACTATCGGTTTATAAATTTTTACAACCGGTAAACTAAATTATTCCGGAAAAGAAGAAAAAAATCCGGTTTTTTAAATATTTAAATTTTTTTTACTTATCCCTAAACAAAAATATGATGTCCTCTGTAAAAAATATTTTAAAATATTTTATGGTTCTCGAATAATTAACCTATTTCAATTTTTAGTAGGAGTGCGACGCGTAGTTCAACGCGTTGCGAGGGTCGGACAATTTTTTTCAGAACGTCTTTTACACTGTATTTCATGTGATGCTTATGTGACCACGTGCAATTTTATAGTTATAATAAAAGATTAGACCCACAGTGATTATCATCACCACAGTGATTATAGTTATTGTTTCATTAAACCACAGTGATTATAGTTATTGTTTCATGTAGTAAAAAAAAAAACAAAAAAAAAAACCATGTGTTAATCTTGTTTTCATTAGTTACGACCACTCAGAGTTTTTAGCCGTAGTTTTTAACTGATTTGGAGTATGATTTTTAAACAACTGATAGCTTTTAATTTCTCGATTTACATTTTCCTGCTAAAATATATGATGGTTATCATAAACAATTGAACAAAGCATATTTAACAAAAATAATATTCCAGTTATTGTAACTAAAATGATGACTAGAAGCAAAGAAACAAAATTTTATCAATTTCCGCAAAAACCACCGCAACCTAGCGACAAAAATTTAGAACAAAATATTTTCTCCTTTAATTGTGCCCACATACAAAACATGTAAATAAAGAAACCGAATCGGTGACTTCAGTATTTTAATTTTCAAACCTGTCTGGTTTTTCCAAACTTACTGATAAGAAATAGAAATCTATTATATATATATGACTAAGTTAGAAAATACTCATACTTATTACTAGTAATCATTTATTAACGCAAAAATATTTTCCCGCTCTAACAATTAATTTTTCTCAGTTTTAAAATTTAACTGTTAAAAGTGTAAATCAGGACAGGTGAAATAACATCTTGCATTTTTCTTAAAAATTGTTATAGGAAGAATGAACAATACTGATGTAAGTTAACTTATGAAAAGTTACAATTAATCACATAATATATTACGATTACTAAAATGAAATAGTATTGCATTAATTTTTTCAGCATAATCGCTTCAACATATTGTTACTTGCTCCTTTTTTAAAAAAATTTAAATGTGATATTTACATGTTATTAAGATAGTAAATTATGTTATTAAGATAGTATATTATAGATTTCAAAAACTGAGATATTAAGATAAATGCAAAAACCGAAAAATCAACATAAATAAAAGTATTTTTTTATTCTGATTTGTTTATCAAGTATGATTTTTGTCGATGTGTTATGTACAAACTAAACATATTTAAAAATTTTTTATTTTTGAGAGATCCTAGTAATATACAAAATTAAACCTACAAAGTTATTTGTTTTCAAGCTTCCATAGAAAATTTTGATATTGGCAACTTTTACTTATAATCCTAGTTAATATGAACCTTATAATTTTATTTAGTTTCTTAAGTAGTACTTAAATTCTCCTCATAATGTCAAGTTTCAAAAACATAATACCCCATTGCCTGTTGCGTGGTTTTACAAGAGGTGTGTCTAATAATAGTCAACCACCCTATAAAGTAAATCTAGAGTGTTCAGCGTGACAAAAGGCTAAAAATTGAAGGTTTCCTCTGTTAATATGGTTTCTCTGCATGGAAGAAGTGGAGACTGATGAAATAGCAAGTAGTAGAAAGCTAGATTATTGCTGCCACCATAAGTAGAAATGTTGTTATAAGTTCTGGGTTATATGCAAAGGTGTGTCAGGTGTTGTTATTTTAGTAGCAGAAAAATGAATATAAGAGTGATGGTATTAAGATTATCTATTTGAAGATCAATGCCTAATAAAGTTTATGGATTTCAAACAGGCAGGAAAAAAGAAGAAGAGGGAGATTTTTAATTTTATTTGCCTGCTGAAGTTGTTTGAATATTGTTAAAAGTCAATTTAGGGGATCATGTTTTTGTAAATCACAGCTGAAGAAGTAGAGGTATTAGGCTATTGTAAATCTATAAACAAGCAAAATTGTGGATAGATTTACAACCACTGTTACTGGAACAAAATGTTTTCATTAATTTATATCTACTTTGATCAAAATGATTAAAGGAGATATAAATTAATGAAATGATCAGAATGAAAACCTAATGATGACAGATTTACTCTAACATTTGGCTCTCACAACAAACAAAAATATGAAAATGTTTGGGATAATTAAGTTATGATATTGCAAGACCTATTTTGCAAATACAATTTACTTTACTGGCTTGGTATGGTTTATGAAATTGATGAAAAGAATGATTATTTTATTGTAAAGTCCATACATCCACATTATTAAAGGCTATTGTTCTGCTGGCCAACTTGAAATAATACTTGCTGGGTGCCTAGAATGAATGTCATATCTTTTGGAAAAACACTGTCAACATCTAAACATCTAAACTTAAAAAAATATAAAAATATAATTGAGTAGTAGAGTAATCAAATATGTTGTCAATAAATGTTTTCTAAAATTTCTTTTTTTTATAATAAAAAAATCATTGATAAAAATAGCATAAACTTTAACTTTAATAATTGAGTGATTTTGCTTATTCCAATTTTTTTAATTTTGTGTTGCTGTTTTTTTACTTTTGACTTGGTATTCAAATTTTGTATTTCAAAAAATTTTGCATTTCAATTTCAAATTTTTTAAAACACTGTTTTCTACATCTTACTTTCTACATTATAAAAATGCAAGCAGCAACTTAAGTTTGCACTGATAGAAATAATATTTTTTAAATTATGTTATGCAGAGTAAATTATTTTGTGATGAATTATATTTCCAATTAGTTGTATTGGAAATTATATTTCCATGTAAACTTTTAAAATTATTGATTATAAATTTCCAAAATTATACAGTGTTATATTTTATATGCTCTAAAGGATCTGAACTATTGTCTATATTAAGATTGGATCTCATTTCACAATGAGGGTTACATACACATTTTATATTAAATAAATATACATTATAAAATAAACTTATAAACTCTGAATCATATATAAATTAACTCTTTTGTAATTTGTTCATTTTTTTAGTTCACAGATTATTTGAATATGGCAACAACAGAATCAAGTCCTTACTAATTCCTAGAATTACCTGACTTTTTTTGTAACCAAAACAAAAGTTTGTTTGACTATATTAAATTTAAAGAACATTAAAGAAATGTTTTTAATTGGGTTACTTTATCTGCATCTTTAGATTTTGCTCAAAAATAGTCAGGCACCAATTTTTGGCCATATTTTTCTGTTAGAACATTAATTATTTATAAAAAGTATTACAACAACATCAATTACGGAAAACGTGAGAAAAAAGATCTTTTTCTTAATTTTACATTAGCATTAGGGGGAAAAGAAAAACTTTTTTTAGATAAAGTTATTCTACACTAATTAAAATATGCCTTTTTTATATTTAGAAGAGTGTATTTCTTGCTCCTTGTCCAGTTGGTGAAGGTATATTGTTAAATTTTTGATAATTTATATGTATATATGCATGTGTATATGTTTATATAAATACCATGTGTGTGTGTGTATATATATATATCAGGGTGTTAGCCAGCTTGATGGCACCGTTTATAACACAGAATATTCCTAATTGTTTTAAATTTCCCAAAGGTTCAAAAGATTTAAAAATTCCCAAAGGCTCAGATTTAAGGAGTTATACTAGACATGTAGAAAACGTAATTAGTACTCACAATGAAGAAATGAATTAAGTTTATCAATTTTTTTTTTGAAAAAAAAACGTTGTCATTAACAAGCGAGATCATTTATTCAAAAGTTAAAAAAAACTTTTTTAATTGATGTCAGTTATTCTCTAGTTTAAATTTTTCAATATGTTTAACAAACTATTGTTTATATTTATTCTTATTATTCAAAAACTCTTTATTTACATTTTTACTGTTTATCTTAAGTTAGGAAAATTACAAAAATCTTTGCATAATAATATACTTTAAAATGAGTTATTAAGATTTTTGCTTATTTAAATTAATTTGAAAATAGCATATTGCAATAAATATTCTTTTAACTTACATTCTATTCAACTGAAATTGGCAAGCTAAGCAAGTTTCTCATTTAAAAGCTATTGAGCTATCTAAAACTTTTTCATTTAAAAGCTATCGGTTTAAATAAGTTAGTTTACATTCTGGTATGGTTTCCCATATTAATCTCCTGGATCCAGCATTTGGATCCAGGAGATTACATAGAAAGTAGAAAGATAAGTAAAAGTGAGAGCTTTTATTCCATCTAGTTGGTTTTAAGTCAAGCTTTATTTTTTCCCATGGTTTTCACCTTCTTGTTCAGCTGCTATCTCTGATCCTAATTTTTTGTTTCTTTTATAAGAGCTATTTTAAGAACAAACATCTTTTTATTACTGTAAGAAATCAATATAAAAAAGTGCTGTCTAGTGCTAAGTTGCAATATTATAAGTTTACTAAATCTTTTATTTTATCTCAGAAATAAGGTTTTAGAGATTTTTGCAAAGTCTTAAACAGTTTCATTAACAAAGGTTAGTCTAAATCTCTAAGACATGGGTCTGATCTTATTACCTCTCAAAAGGATAAAGTAAAACTGCTTGCAAACTTTTCAAATTTTAAATCTAATGGCCACACTTTCTGTCATTCCAAAGAAATAGGTTAATTTATTATAAGATATCCAACTCTTTCTGACTCCCATTTGCTAAAGTTTTCTAAACTCTACAGTTCAGTTCAGTTCTCGGGCACTACAAGGTTCTATCTTTCATCATGAGGGGGTATTTAAGCTTGAAAAGGATCTCACTTCTGCTACAGCATGGAGCTCACAGTGGCTGATGAACTTTCAGATAAAACCCAATTTTTTTCAGCCAATAGTATTTTTTTCACAATAATTTAGACCTTCCTATATTTATGAATGATAATTTACTAGATGAGTCATCTACCCTTCATCTTCTAGGATTAACTCTTACTTCTGATCTTTCTTGGAAACCATATATCAAATCTGTTGCAAAATTAGCATCTGCTAAAGTTGCATCTCTTTATTGAGCTCGACACTTTCTTAGTCTGGATTCTATTCTCTATAAATCTCAAATTCGGCCTTGTATGGAATACTGTTGCCATATCTGGGGCAGATCTTCTAGTGATGCACTTTTAGACTTTTTAAATTTCTCTTTTAGACAAGGTGCAAAAGCGCATTGTAAACATAGTTGGACCTGCTTCAACCTTTATCACATAGCCAACCTTCAACCTTTATCACATCGTCGTAATGTTGCTTCTCTTTCTCTTTTCTACAAATACTATAATGAACACTGCTCCAAAGAGCTAGCTTCTCTTGTGCCATCTACTAAAATTCATTCTCGTGTTACTCATCATTCAATTAAGTCTCATCCTTTTTCTGTTACTGCTCCTTAGTGCTCCAAAAACTCTTTTTTGTCTAGTTTTTTTCCTCGAACATCAGTTCTTTGGAATTCACTTCCTTTATCTTGTTTTCCTGATTCATATATATTGCAATCTTTTAAGTCTTCTGTCAATCGTTATCTTGCTCTAGGATCTTCATCTTTTCTCTTCCAGTAACTTCCAACACTAATTAGTGGTTGCTGAACACTAATTAGTGGTTGTTGGAAGCGAAGATGTTTAAAAAAGTGTTGTTTTTTATCTTTAATAATAATCTTCCTGACAATCATACATCTAAAGTTGCTCTATTTTACTGAAGACTCAACTTTATACTCTTGTTTTGACAAAAAATCCTCATTTTTGGATTGCTTGAAGAAGCCAATTTTTAATCTGATTTCTCTTCTGTAACTGCATAAGGCTTTCAGTGGCTTGTGAATTTAAATTCTGGACTTGAAATCCACAATTTTTGTTAGACAATCAAACTTATTTACTGCAAAAAAATATTGTAATAATGTTGGCATATTAATGAATAGTAACTCTCTTACTTTCAGATAAAGTCTAAAAGCACATTGTAAATGTAATTAGACCTGCTTTATCTACCAAGCTTGAGCCACTCTCCCGTTGTTGTAAGGTTGCATTTCTTTTTGCTCAAAGGAGCTATCATCTCTATTACGATAAACTAAAACTCATTCTTGCTTGGCTTTGTATTCAACAAGTTGCATTCTTTTACTGTATCTTTCCCTTTGTGCTATAAAAACTTTTATTAATCTAATTTTTTTCTTTGAACATCAAAAAAAACCTTATAACTCTTACCCAACTTCATGTTTTCTTTTTTTATTCAACCTGCAACTTTTTAAGTCTTCAGTTAACTGTTTTCTAGTATTTTAACTTTCTCTTTTTTAACAGGGCGGCCACTGGTCATGGAAGTCATGGAAATGTCATGGAATTTTATTTGGTCATGGAAAAAGTCATGGAAAATAACTTTCAATGAAAATTTTTTTCTACTTGCGATATTTTTAGGATGCAAAGAAAAGTACTAATATGTCTAGTCTAAGTCCTATTTGAAAAAGATATTTTTGCAGTGTAAGTTATCAGAGAAGTAAAAGAAAGTCATGGAAAAGTCATGGAATTTATTTTTCAAATTTGAGTGGCCGCCCTGTTTAAAGTAACTCATAGCATAAATTTAAAAAAATTTAATACAAAGGGGTTACCATAAAACATGGTAACCCCTTTGTATTAAAACAAGGAAACGAGGTTGGAATTTTTTTGCTGACCTCAAACACTTTAAGGTTAGCAGTTAGGTCGGCATTGCCAAATGCCGACCCTAATTCTGAGAGTTGGTTTACACAATTAATGGAGTCTAATATATTGGAGTAAAAAAAATATATTAATGCTGAACATTAAGTCACATTTTTATTGTTTTAAGAAAAAAATTTGAAGCACGGCAAAATCCTCCTTGAAATGCTTTACTCAAATCAATCTATATGAATCAAATTAATTTTCTTATAAAATTGAAATTAAATTTCAATTTTATAAGAAATTTTTAGATTCATATTGGTTGATTTAAGTAAAGCATTTCAAGGAGCATTTTGTTGGGTTCCTATTTTTTAAACATAAACATTTTTTTAGTTACCAGCCTAGTTATAATGAAGAAAAATGCTGTCATAAAACATATTAATTATTAATATTATTAATATACATATAAATATGTCTTTCTTTTTTAAAATAGATTTTTATATTAGGAAATTTTTATTTATTATTGAATAAAATTTAATATTTTTTTATTATCTTTCTTGTATACATTTAAAAACATTGTTGCTTTTAAAAAAAGTTGCTTACAATAAAATTTTATATAATTGTGATTACAATAAAAACTACATTGACCAAGGTTATGGTTTGGGCAGGCAATCTATCAATTAAATAAACATGCGGTAGTGGTGTTGTGGTAAGAGCGCTCGCTTTATAAGCGAGAGGTTCGGAGTTCGACTCCCACCACGTCCTTGGAAGTACTGCGCTTAACTTAATTTCTCTGCGCAGCGGTTTTGCTTGTCAAGTTTCGTGTTTCGGAATTAAAGAGTTGAGAGAGGGTTGTACCACGACTTACAACAAAAAAAAACAAAAAAAAACAAAAAAATGAGTAGCCTCCTCGACTGTAGTGGCCCCTCGAGCCTTAGGGCAGTGAATATTTAAAAAAAAAAAAAACTTTTTCCAATCATCTAAATTAATTTAAAAAATGTATATTTATAGAGTTTACATTTTATGGTAAAAATTAAAAATTGACCAAGAGCAATATATATATATATATATATATATATATATATATATATATATATATATATATATATATATATATATATATATATATATATATATATATATATATATATATAGCTAATTAATTTTTCTAATTAATATTTTACAAAAATATTATCAAAATTGAATTCCTCATACCCAAATATACAGGGATCCAAGTGTGCTTGTCAAAATTTCAAAAATTTGTATTTTAACAGAAGTATATGCGTATATATATATATATATATATATATATATATATATATATATATATATATATATATTTAGATATATATATAAAATATTAAACATGAATGAGCATTAAGTGTAGCATTATCTAATATGAATATATATATATATATATATATATATATATATATATATATA